TTCGTTCTCGACTCTTACCGGTACATCAGCATGAATAGACCCGTAATCAGAAGATTGTTATTCAGCCATATGTTACGTCGCGGGATTTATACTACTCCATCAATCGGTTCATAATCCCGATCTTCTGGTCCTTGCTCAACGGCAGTGCGTGCTTACCGCGTTCGGCTCTCGGTGTGATCGGCAAAGTGTACCGCTCGTATTCCATCACAAACAGGAGAGGCCGAGTTGTAGTCGCATTAACGAGAATGGTAACTATTGTTGTAAATCAATTCGAAGATCCGGAGTGTCGCAGAGATCAGCTCAGGACTGTTAGAAGAGATACGATGACGGGCGGAAAAGTGCGGGAGAAGAAAGTTTAATGCTTACACACGGACTAAGTTGGTGAAAACTGGTAGTCAACCAAACATAGAAAATCCCGGTAAAGGCGTGAATTTACAGTGTAAAATTAAATTCCCATGGGGTCAGCACCGTCGCTAACGTTGTATGCCCGGTTTCCAGATGCTGTCGGGTCTGCGCTGGGTCACCGGTTGCTGTGCGCTGTCTTGTCTGCTAACGCTAGGTCCTTCGGACCGCTGCATCGAAGGTGCATACCATGTCTACTTATCTTGAGCATAAACTCCAACGAAAGATATTCTTTTTCGTAGCAGAATGACGCTTACCAGTTCGGACCACTAGCAGCTCATTGGTCCATGACGTCGTGCCCCTCCATTTAGCGCGATGCAGCTTAAACTCTATCGCGAGCTCGCAGCCCAAAGCGATGCAACATCAAAGACCCCTCTCAAACCCAATTCCTCCATCTTCTGACTCTAATAATAACCTTTAACCGACCATCTGCGATGGTCAAGTGTCCTGAATGCGAAGCCGGGGCTGATGTGACCAAGGATGGTGCTTGGGCGCATTGCGCTTCCTGTATGTTGATGACCTGCATATGGTATCTGTGAAGAAATGTGAAAAGCTTGAGATAATAATGCTTATGTAGGCAACACTGTTTTCGAGCCGGGAAAAGAAGGGAGTCATTACAAGGGTAGTGGCAGCGGATCTGGTGACGAGGAAAAAGAAAAGAAGAGCGACACCAAGGATGGCAGTGTGAAGAAAGATTAAGGAAGAGTATGGGTTGAGCTATCTAAGGAAATACCCTGTTGGTGAAGAAGATGAAGGATATGCTGGCCCATGACTACGGCCATCAAAATGCTCAATGCATGCTGAATCTTGTACATCAGCAGACAGTCCAAGCTGACTGCTGAATATCAGTATGTGCATTTTCCGCAGTACCCACAGCCATGAGCGGTACAGGCTGTATAGTCCGGCTCAGTACCCGAATCATCGTCATCAAGGTTGCTGTATTTGAACTCATCATGATCTCCATTCTCATCCAGTCCATGTTTTTCATCGGCAGCAATACTATGAGTGACGAGGTCCGCATCAGATCCATCGTCGGCCCAACGGTCAGCCAACTGCATTGGTAGTGCATGCGTGCCCTCTCCGTACTGACCTCGTATCTCCAGGCGATCTGCTCCTGGGCAGTAAATCTCAAGCAGTACTCGTCTTTCGTTCTTTACAACTGCTAAGACTTTTTTGAGAAGCACAGCAAAGCGACGAATACCGTCTTTGTTCTCCATCTGCCAGGCCTGCACCTCGTCCCTGATATCTTGCACGCGGATATCTTGAAACAACCCATGGCCGTCATGATACGCGAGGATGAAGTTGGGGATTTGTTTCAGCCAAAGTTGTGACGAAATGTCACGCATGTCGATGAATTTGTTATATTTTCCTGAGCGTGTCTTCATGTCGAAAATAGAGCTCTGTGGAACCGCTGAGCCACCGCGCTTGACTGAGATCCTATCCAAGGTCTTGCTGAACGTCTTGGAGGAGTGGCCGATAGTTGTACCTTGCAGTGCTTGAAGAAGGTCATCTTCACCTGTTGTGCCCTTGTCAGACAATTTGTCGCTACCTTTCGAAACACCCTTGATATAGCCATCACTCTCGAACCGAACGAGGCAGTTCAGTCCCCCGAATGTGTATTGTATGATGCGTTGATGTGTGTCAGAGCCCTTGACATCGTTGTCCCATGTGGTGTAAGCTTCTGGGAAGGTATGGCCGAAGCCTCTAATGTCCTTGATGATCTCTTTCGGATCGTTCTCCTTGCGAACGAAGAAAACAGTGTTGCCAATAACCTCAACGTTGAAACGGAAGGCTTTGTCAATGCCACGGGCGAAGCGGAGGAGGTTGCCTAGAGTGCTGCCGCATGCAAAGAGATCGACGTTGGAAGTGGGAAACTCGGGGTTTGTCTCCACAACGGCATGCACAACAGGTGCCATTGGGTAGTCGGGGTATTTTGCTGCATTCAGATCACGATAGTACTGCCCACTGTCTTCCTTCAGACGCTGTGGAGTTGTGAGGGGTGTCCACTGTGGGGGTTTTCCTAAGATGAATCAGTCTAGATCAAAAAATATCGAGAGGAACTCACCTGGAACAATGATCGTGGGAACTTCGCTATTTAGCCAGTTGTAGGACGCGACATACTGACACCCAGATATCTCAGGGACGTCAGTTGAGTGATTGCTCCCTACGATCAGATCTGAGCCGCGAATTGTCTTCATGATGTCTCCAAGAGGATGCCTCTCAATGTCAGGCTTCACCTGTTCTCTGGTCTTGGTGAAGTGAGGGGTTCGTCCACCGCGGCCTCGCACCCCCCGTGGAGCAAAACCTCCGCCTCTGCTGCTGCCTGGAAACGAATACATGAGGAATATGGCGGCACAGCCTTGACTGGGGTTCAAAAAGCGAAAATTGCGAGGCTGAGTTTGACCGGAGCAGAAAGCGATACAACGGATTCATATATCTGATGCTGCCTGGACAAGGCTGAGCTCAAGTGACGTTGTTTGTTCAACGTGCATGTGGCACAACCCTCCTGGTAGGCTTCAGTTCGTCCAGAACATGCCAGAGCATGCAGGCAGAACACAACGCATTGCTTTGCCGCAAATCGACTGCGATTGTCTTCCAATCATTTGCACAGCCCATTATTTGCGCAGCGTCTCGCATGAGCTGAGACTCTGTGTAACCTTCCACCCCCACCTTTTCACAATCCTCATAAGCGCAAGTGTACCTCAGCTAAAGAAGTACAGAAACATACCAGACTTCTTCGATAACACGACCGTTTACACCCAGTACAAACCTAAGACATGGACCCAGAGGCCGCAAAGCGAGCTGCAGGGCTGACAAAGTTGTTTAACGCCATCATCTACGGACATCGCGAACTGAAGAGCGCAGCCGATGGAAATCGATTTTTAGAGGCACTGTGTTCCCAGGAGGATGCGTCCAAGTGTGTGGAGTCTCTAATCGCATCCCCCGCGGGGTTGAGCGCGGTGGCCAAAGCGTTTCGCTCTTCTCGTGATAGCGCGTTTCTCAACGGATCGGCATCTTCGGTCCTCCTTTATCTCTCCCAGCCATCCATCAAGCAACTCTATGGTGGCGAATTTCTGCATCGCGTCCTCGAACAGATTGTACAGCCTCCTTCATTCTGGAACATTCTCGTCGAGGCGCACAGTGCGCGCACCCTTTCCTCCGATGGCACTCGCGCATTCGCGTGGCTGCTGCTTGAGGTTCTGTACAGCCGCTCTGAAGATGTCCCGGACGTGCGAGACGTCGCGGAGCGAGTCACCAATGACGAGTCCCTCATCAATGCAGATTTACTGGATGTTCGCAATTTAGGCCAGAAAATCAAGCATGTCCTTGAGAGCACCATCAATGATTCAGCCGATGGCCCTGGTGGGCGACATGATAATGACCACGTGGAAATTCACAAGATCAAGCTCTTACCAACACCAGATGAATTTGCATCTGTTGAGGAGCCGTTCTACAGACGCGCAAATGACATCGTATCGATAAACCCTGGGACCCGCGGTATGATGCATGTCGGCAATCAGTTTCGCCTGCTTCGAGAAGATATGTTGGGCGAGCTGCGCAGCGACTATCAAATCGCTACCGGTCAGAAGAAAGGACGCCGCAAGATAGTTCTCAAACATCTGAAATTCCACGGTATAGATTGTGGACCGGAAGCGAAACGAAAACCCTGTTCGTTGAAGTTGCTATGTCAGGACGATATTCCACAAGTGAGCCATATCAAGGGCTTTGACGCCCGCAAAAAATACCTCATTGCAAACAAGAACGTTCTTAAGTATCAATCTCTTGGTTGTCTCATCAACGATGGCAACATCGTCGCATTCGCAACCGTGGATCGCGATGAGGATGCTCTTGCCGAGAGCCCTCCCGTTATTATGCTTCGAGTCGCCGACGCCGATTCTTTTGGGAAAGTATTGCTGGCATGTAAGATGGGGTTGGATCTTTGCTTCGTGCAGGTAGACACTGTTGTGTTTGCTTATGAACCCGTTTTGAAATGTCTACAGTCGTTGACCGAGATGCCGTTGGAGGAACAGCTCCTTAACCTCACGCCGCATTCTTCCGAAGCCCTATCTGGTATCCAGCCAACTAAAGCAATTGAAGCTATCGAAGACGGCTGGGAAGACGATCTAAAAGACGTCATTGGGGGCACCAAGCCCATCAACCTCGACAAGGCTCAAGCAGACTCACTTCTGACTGGCCTTATGAAGAGAGTTAGCTTGATACAAGGTCCTCCGGGTACTGGAAAGAGTTTTATCGGCGCACTCATCGCCAAGATTATGCACGATCATAGCAACGAGAAAATCCTGGTCCTTACGTACACGAATCACGCTCTGGACCAGTTCCTGGAAGACATGTTAGAAGCAGGAATTCCGGCTGAATCTATGGTACGACTGGGATCGAAGTCGACAAATAAGACGCAGACTCTGGGTCTTAGAGAGCAGCCAAACAATTACAAGAGGAGTGCACAGACATGGTCAATGATCGATGCCCAGAAGAGAGAAGCCGAGTCGTACCACGATTCTCTGGTCAATAAAATGGCAAGATTCAACTCTGTCATGTTAAACGAACGAGAGCTTCTTGACTACCTCGAATTCTCGGACGATTCAGAGTACTTCGATGCGTTTGTCGTCCCTACAAACGATTATGGTAGTATCGTTGCAGGTAAAAAGAACAAGCAGGTAAACGAATACTATCTCATCAAGAGATGGATCGAGGGCAAAGATGCAGGTGTATTCGCCAAAGATGCAACACAGAACTATCCTCACATATGGACGACTGCAAAGCAGAATCGTCACGTACTCTGGGACAAATGGCGGAAGACAATTCTCGTGGAGCAAATCAGCGAGATCAGTACACTCGCAAACAAGTATAACGCATGTCGTACCCAGATCGAACGCCTGTATCGTGAGAAAGATTTTCACATACTCGGTCAGAAGCGTATTATTGGCTGTACCACCACGGCAGCTGCGATGTACACCGACGAGATTCGAAAAGCCTCACCGGCCATCGTCTTAGTTGAAGAAGCTGGAGAAATCCTTGAAAGCCATATACTGACAGCTTTGACTCCATCTTCAAAACAACTCATCCTCATCGGAGACCACAAGCAGCTGCGACCCAAAGTCAACAACTACAGCCTGACTGTGGAGAAAGGCGATGGCTACAACCTCAATGTATCTTTGTTTGAACGGCTTGTGCTCAGTGGCGTCCCGCATGCGATTCTCACCAAACAGCATCGTATGCGTCCTGAGATCTCATCGCTCGTCAGGTCGCTTACCTACCCGGAGCTAGAGGACGCCGACAAGACAAAGGGCCGACCTGCACTGCGTGGCTTCCAGGACAACGTTATATTTGTGTCGCATTCGCATCCAGAGCTCAACGCGGTGAAGATTGCCGACCGAGGTGATGGTGACGCCAAATCCAGCAAGGAAAACTTGTACGAGGCTGAAATGGTACTGAAATGCGTTCGATATCTTGGCCAGCAAGGCTATGGTACAGATGACATCGTTATTTTGACACCTTACCTTGGCCAGCTATATTTGCTGTTGAATACACTTTCCAAGGACAATGATCCCATTTTAAACGATCTCGACTCGTTTGCACTGATCCAAGCAGGTCTACTTACACCAGCTGGCGCAAATATCTCCAAGCGCAGACTTCGGATATCAACTATCGGTAATTAGCCATACATGGTCAGATCCCCATACCGGACTTTCGCTAACGTCGCTCTAGATAACTACCAGGGTGAGGAAAGTAATATTGTCATTACATGCCTTACGCGTAGCAACGATGCTGGAGACATTGGCTTCATGTCGTCACCGCAACGTGTCAACGTGTTACTATCTCGAGCAAGGGATGCTCTGATACTAATCGGAAACGCTGATACCTTCATGAAGTGTCGTAAAGGGGAAGAGGTCTGGGTCCCGCTCATGGATCAGTTGAAGCAGAACGGTCATGTCTATGACGGCTTTCCTGTCAAATGTGAACAGCATCCCGAGAAGACTGCGCTTTTGACTGAGAAAGAGCAATTTGATTCTGTATGCCCCGACGGAGGCTGTTCTGAGCCTTGGTAAGTCAACTTATGAGACCTGTTGTCACTGGCTAACAATGTTAGTGGCAAAATGCTTAGCTGCGACATTCACTCTTGTACTAGTCAATGCCACCAGCTGCAGGATCACTCTAAGATGAAGTGCAAGGCCATTGTGTCATTCACATGTGCCAACAAGCACACAACCACGAGGAGGTGTCATGATAAGGCAGCAACCCACTGTCCGAAATGCGAAGCTGAAGTGCGAGCACGGGAGAAAAAGCGCCAACGAGACCACGAACTGGACCAACAGCGGCAGGCAAAACAACGAGCTTATGCAGCCCGGCTATTAGAGATTGAGGAAGAAATTGAGCACCAGAAGCGTGTCCTGAAAGACCAAGCGGAGGACAGAGACCGCCAGGCGGCGCTTGAACAAAAGAAGCAAGACCTCCGCAATTTGCGGGCGAAAGCTAAACAGCCAGCTCAAGCCCCCCCATCACAGGATCCTGGTAATAAGGCACCAAACTCTCCTTCTATGCCATCAGGCGGCCCTACTACCCCCAGTACGACTACGGCTGGTCCTAGTGGAACTACAGCCGATTCCGGACCATCTACGCCGGACCAGGATGAGAGCCAACCTGACTGGGACAAAAGTGAGGCGAGGGATGACTGGGAGTGGCAGAAAAATTATGAGGGCGCAGAGAACGAGGCACTAGATTCTCTAGTGTCTATGATTGGACTTGAAGCTGTCAAACAGCAATTCCTTGCAATCAAGGCCAAGGTCGACACCATTGTTCGCCAAAACGTTTCGCTGACGGGAGAACGATTCGGGGCAGCTCTGCTAGGCAACCCCGGAACTGGCAAAACGACCGTGGCTCGCTACTACGCCAAGTTTTTGGTCAGAGTTGGTGCGCTTCCTGGCGACCATTTCTTCGAGAGCTCCGGATCAGCTCTGGCCAACGATGGCGTGTCCGCCTGCAAAGCTCACATCGACAAGATCTTGGAGGAAGGCGGTGGTGTTTTCTTCATTGATGAAGCATACCAGTTAGTCTCAGGTAACAGCCCTGGTGGCAAAGCAGTGATGGACTATCTGCTTGCTGAGATTGAAAATCTGACTGGAAAAGTCGTGTTTGTACTGGCTGGATATCATAAGCAGATGGAGGCGTTTTTTGCCCACAATCCCGGAATTCCAAGCCGCATACCGATTCGAATGGAGTTCCAGGACTACGAAGATCGCGAGCTCCAACAGATCTTCTGCCAGTACATCGACAAGAAGCACCGTGGAAGCATGAAGTTCGAGGGTGGAACGTCCGGCCTATACGTTCGCATTGTCGCTCGTCGCATCGGCCGTGGTCGTGGTCGTGACGGCTTCGGCAATGCACGCGAAGTGCAGAACAAGATTGCTCAGATTGCCGAACGCCAAGCCAAACGCCTAAAGAAGGAGAGACGTACTGGTGCGACGCCAGACGACAATCTGCTCACCAAAGAAGATTTGATAGGCCCGGAACCCTCGTCGGTGCTCAAGAATAACGCTGGATGGACGAAGCTACAAAAGCTTATCGGATTGACCTCGGTCAAAGAGTCGGTACAAGCTCTTCTCACCGGCATACAGACTAACTATCAGCTGGAGCTCAAGGAAAAGCCCATTATTCAATATTCGCTAAACCGTTGCTTGATTGGTTCACCTGGAACAGGAAAGACAAGCATAGGTAAATTGTATGGGCGTATCCTAGCCGACATTGGACTTCTTTCGAATGGCGAAGTTGTTGTAAAAAGCCCCGCGGATTTTGTTGGCAACGTCCTTGGGGGGTCCGAGAAAAATACCCAAGCCATCCTGGCGTCTACAGTTGGTAAAGTTCTCATTATCGATGAGGCTTACATGCTGGCCAGTGGCGCTTCAGGCGATCACTTCAAAGCTGCTGTGATCGACACAATTGTCGCTGAGGTTCAGAGTACTGCGGGCGAAGATCGTTGCGTGCTCTTACTGGGATACAAAGACAAAATGGAGGAGATGTTTCGGGATGTCAACCCTGGCCTTGCCAGGCGTTTTCCATTGGAGTCTGCTTTCGTCTTTGAAGACTTCAACGACGCTGAAATTCGTTGCATCCTTGATCTCAAGCTAAAGGACATTGGTTTCAGCGCGACTGATCAGGCTAAGAAGGTACGATTTGAATCACAAATTCGTTGCGTTTGCTAACATGCCATATTGTAGGTCGCTATGGACGTCATACAACGTGCGCGAAACCGTCCAAACTTTGGAAATGCAGGAGAGGTGGACATCATTTTGGATCGCGCCAAAGCACTGCACCAAAAGCATTCGACCGCTAACAAGATCAAACAATTTGGAAATTTTGAGGCCATAGACTTTGATCCCGATTTCGATCGCGGCGAGCGTGCTGCTACTCAACTCAGTTCCCTGTTCCAAGATGTCGTGGGCTGCGAAGAGCTGATTGAGCAGTTCCGCGGCTACCAAATCACAGCCGCGAACTTGAAGTCTCTTGGGATGGACCCTCGAGAACAGTTGCCTTTCAACTTTTTATTCAAAGGGCCGCCAGGTACTGGGAAGACAACGACGGCAGCCAAGATGGGCAAGATCTTTTACGATATGGGCTTTCTCAGCCAGGCGAAGGTCGAGGAGTGTTCAGCTACTGACCTGATTGGACAGTATGTTGGTCACACAGGACCAAAGGTGCAGAAACTCATGGAGAAGGCCATGGGCAAGGTACTCTTCATTGACGAAGCCTATCGACTCGCCGAGGGAGGCTTTGCAACCGAAGCGATGGATGAGCTGGTTGACTGCCTCACGAAGCCCAAATTTGTACAAAAGCTGGTTGTAATCTTGGCAGGTTATGACAAGGATATCGACCGACTGATGAGTATGAATCCCGGACTTACCAGCCGTTTCCCCGAGACGATTATGTTTAAGCATCTAGAGCCAGATAAATGCTTGGAGCTTCTGGTCAAGGTTTTCGCAGACCTGAAGAAGAGGAAAAATGCACCACTCGACCTTTCCGTTATCGATCCGCCCACACAGGAACTACAAAAGCAATTGCTAGAGTTTTTCAGCAAGCTATCTGTGTTGGAATCATGGGGCAATGCACGCGACGTCAAGTCTCTTGCTAAGAGCATGTTCAAAGATCTTATCTCGAAGGCTACACCTCCAATCACCAGTCTTGTACTTACAAACGAGATCATCATTGACGTCATGAAGACGATGTTAGATGAGCGCTCGAGACGAAATGCTGCTGTTGGTACAGCCCGATTTCCGAACCGATTGCCTCGACGCTCAATGCCGCCATCTGAGCTACAGCAGCAAAAGCCGCCTACCAATGTACCTCAAGGACCATCAGACACGGGTGTCGAAACCAAAAAGCGGGAAGACTCTCCACAGCAAAAGGAGGAGAAGCCTAAGCCCGCCATAGAGCCTGAAGATCCACTTGACGCAATATTCAAAGCCAAGCGCGATCCCGGTGTATCTGACGCCATATGGGAGCAGCTCGAGCGTGACAAACACGCCATGGTCGCCAAGGAGCGTGAGTTCCGCCATCTCCAAGAACAGAAGCGCAAGGAAGAAGAAGATATAATAGCAATGATCCGCGCGGAGAAGGCTGCTGCGGATGAAGAAGAGCGGCTGAAGAGGGAGCAAGCACGTATCACCGCTGAACTGGAGAGGAGGCGTCGTGATGAAGAGTTGGCTGCGATTGAGCGGGAGCGCCAAAAAGAGATGGAAAGACAGAAGAAGTTGAGAAGGCTGCGCCCATGTCCGATGGGATACCGTTGGATCAAGCAGTCCAGTGGGTATCGGTGTGCGGGTGGCAGTCACACGCTGAGTGATTCGGACATCGATGCTTTCTGCCGTTAAGAAGAGTAGAATGATTGACATAATGATCAATTATCGGTTCAGATCATCGTATGTGACATAAGCTAAGTCTTGTTTTCATGAATACAGGTAGAGAATTAATAATGTTCAATGATATTGTGCTTATTATTGTTGGATATATGAAGGTTTCAAGAATCAAAACACGTGCCAAATGTGATAGCCTGGCGATCTAAATCTCATTATCTAACAGACAATCTTGCATATCCATGCTACCGTCGACCCTCAGCGGTGCCAGCCATGAGCTACGAGAGCTGCACATAAATTCCTCCATGCCATCTATTGCGGCCGATCGATACGCTCCTCCGTATCTTGCTTTGCTTTTGATCGGGCCGTTCGTGCCGCTGCTAGATTACTAGACACGCGCGTGTTCCGACTTGCTAGTTGGATGTTTGCGATACCTCGGGCGATAGAAGGTGACAGGTCTCCAATGGTCGCGTTTGCTTGTATCAGGCCCGTGTTTGGGGTATGATAGGGATTTGCTTGCTCGCCCTCCTTCTTACTCGGCTTTGGGTAGGTCCAATCCAATGGTTTTATATCGCTCGGGTTGAAAGACCATGTCGATTCATCCTCGTGTGATGCTCGGTGCAATAGATAGAGAAGACCGAGACGTACGCTGATCGAAGCAAGCACTTTTTGGTCTGAGGCCATAACGGTTCTATCGGTGTGGCGCACTATGTCCGAGTAGAAGAGCGCATATGAACCGTCGCTCTCTTGGCGTCCAATCTTCAAGAATACCGTCTCTTCGTAGGTCGAGACGAAGCCAAATCGTAGACCCCTCTCTCTCATATCACGGGCTACTTGGCCTTTAATTATTACTGTTAGTGAACGAGAACTCACTGTAGTTGTAGGGAAAGCTTACCAAAGACATGACGCATTGAACCTCGACCCTGTGAATTTGGCTTCCCCCAACCCGGCTCAATCTTACAGGTGCCAAAGAACTTCATCTCACCAGCAATACGCTCCCGCTGGTTGTCTCCCTTGCCTGGCATCTTGATTATGATATCAGGCTCATATTCTGCTTGAAGTTCCTTAGGTATTATCTTAGAACTTCCAAACCCCCAATCTTCAACTAGGGGAATAGCACAGATGTCAATGAGCAAGCTGAGCGAGCTCAGCCAATTGGCTTGCTCAGCCAATTGAGCGGAGGCCAGCAGCTCGCTCGGCTCGCTCGGATTGGCTGAAACAGGGCTGTCAGCTCGCTCGGCTTGATGGGCTCAGTCCCGATTAGGAAAGTTATATAGAAACCTTGGTGTTGAGTTTCTCAGCTAATATCCCACTTATGTACACCGTATTTCGCGTCCATCTCCTCATCGCTGATAGCCTCCTTTACAGGCACCTCACCACTGCCAAATCCAGCTCTTATCCATCGTCTATCGCACTGTATTGCTGCTAGAAGTTGCGGAGAAATGCTGCGCCGACGGGGCTCGAGGAGGTCACCCAGCTCGCTGAATAAGCGCTCACACTCACAGCTTGAGCCTGGGATTGATAGCATGTCGATAGCAAATTTGCTAAGGCTGGGGTAGCGATCGCGGAGTCCTACCCAGTATTTTATAGGGTCGACGCCCTCGCTAGCGATCGGTTCGCTGCGTTTCCAAGCCTCATATTCATCCTCCTCGTTCTCCGTAAGCCCTGCAGGCTCAATAAAGCTGTTGATAGCGTCGTCTATATCATTGTGCCTGACTTTGGGGCGTAAGCGCGGCTTCGGTAAGCTTTTGTACTCCGCCCACAAATGTTGAAACTTGCGGTTGCTGCTCTCTAGCCAATCAGGCTTATCCGCCCACGCTGCGTCAAGGTAGCTTTTGTAGCGAGGATGAAGGATTGTAGCAGCATAGTAAGCTGGCGAGAGGTCGAGCTTGTTGTAGTACTCGCGGGCTTTAACTAGGGCAGCGCGGAGGTTGATAGCAAGGTGGTCTTCGGGTGACTCTGTATGCTCATCGTGAATGACGTCTTCATAGCTTTGCAAGCGGTCCTCATAGACTCCAAGTAAGTATTCAAATACTGGAATAACCTCAGCGATTGCTCCAAAAGCACCGCTTTTGCCGCGGCCTTCAAGCCGTTTTGTAGCTTGTTTCAGTGGCCTGAGCACATCAATATACTCAGCAATCACCTGCCAGTCATGGGCATTGATCCCATCAGACCTCATCCAATCCGGCGCTGCAGGCAGCTTGTTGTTACGACTTCGGGCGTACGCGTCTTCAGTTTCAATCTTCTGAATATGGTAGTTGGCGTACCCATTAACCGCTAATTGCAACTCAACAGCGCGCTCAAAACACGAAACGTAAGAGTTCCAGCGAGTAACAACTGGCTTGACGGGCTCCTTGATTTTGTGCTGTTCTGTTGGCGCGTTGACAGGCTGGTCCCTAATAGCGAGCTTCTGATACTTCTCAAAAAGAGCGTACTGTTGTGGTGTTTTGATGTAGTTGATAACCGCGAGAAGCACTCCTAATGGTCCATCGCCTCGCCAAGTAGCCATGTTCTCAGCTTCGTTCACGCGCTCAGTCTCCTCGTTGTCGTAGGACTCTTTCTCCTCACCCCAGAGTAGCATCTGGCCAATGAGATTAAGCGTATGAGGACCGCAGCGAAGGCGACGCTCGGTAGCGCTGAAGCCCATCTGCAAGGCGAGAGTGTTGATCGTGGTGTTGTTGTTATGTGCGTTGTCGAGGACGAAGTAACCGAGCTTGCCCACAGTGATTTCGAACTGCTTGAATATTGCCATCACGACCTCAGCCATGGCCTCGCCGGTGTGGGCACCTGTCAGTTGTGGGAGCGCAATAGGCAAGTCCCTGAGCTCGCCAGAGCTATCAACGTAGTGGGCGACGATACCTAAGTAACCGCGCTTGCCACCTTTTGTCGTCCATCCGTCAAAGCTTATATGGACTTTGCTCATTGATTCTGAAAGGCTTGCGACAACCTTTGGTAACAGGTAGTTGTACAGGCGTATAACGTATCGTGAGACGCTGTTATGAGATGCCCACAGGGCTCGTTCTGCCTCTACGCTAGCTAATTGTATCATATTGCGAAAAGACGATGATTCGAATTGTGAGAGTGGGAGGTTGTTTTCGACGAGCCAGGTGACGGCCGCAAGCCTAAACTCTTGTATATTGAAGTTGGTAAGCTCGTTGGCAACAGCCTGAGAGCAGCCCTTCTGAAGGGCGCGTTCGAGGAGAGTTTCTTTCCGAGGAGCGACGGTAGTGCGCTTACTTGGAGGCTTCAAGCCATGACCTTTCTTGTCTTCTCCGAGATGACGTGCTGGCGCTGATGGAGACTGCGAGACGTCATGTATGCCACGGCCAACAGTAGTGAACTTGTGCTTATAGCAATAGTGGCAGATCCACGTGACTTTTGCGACGTTGCTGCGCAAGGCGATGCGATAGCTATGGCTGTATACCCAGCTTGCTCGGTTCGAAAGTGATGTGGGCGGCTTGCAGTGCTTTGGGTAGCGACTCCAATTAAAGCCGTCGTATTTGTCCTCTACCCATACGAAACCCTCGTCGACAGCCTCGCTAGCTGCTCCTGAAGCTGCAACAGTGGCATGCTCGCTGCCCTCAGGTGGTGGGATGATTGTCTCTTCGGCGCGCGACTCTCGGAGGGTCGCTTCAAAATTTGGTGCTTGTGGCGCGGCGACGAGAGCTTGACGCGGCGACAGCGGTGGAGGAGGTGGAGATGGTGAGAATGGCCGAGTATCGACTAGCACAGGTTGGCTGGCAGTCCCGCGATGACGCGCTGCGACTCTAGGGCGCTTCGAAGTTGTCGCGATTTCTAGAGCATTAACGCGTGTTCTTTTTGCTGGCATTATAGCAACGGCGAGGTAGATAATAGCTGCAAATAGAGACGCGTTGATGGAGTATAGGTGAGTGTGGTGGGTGATAAGTAGTAAGTGAAGTGTCGCAGAAGGAGAATATTGTTGCCAGGCCGTTAGCCGGAAATTTAGTAGCTTATTTGCTAGAAATATAGCAAAAAAGAGTGTATTTTAGGTTATAACTAGGTTTCGAACTTACGCACTACACCTAAAAATCATCGTGAGATTGCCCCTCCACCAAGTCCTTCAGCCCCAAGTTTCCAACCGCCCCATCCAACCAAGCTAAGCAAGCTGACTGAGCGAGCGCCTATCCCTAAGCTCGCTCGGCTTGCAAGCGCGTACTGCGCGCTCAGCTCATTCGGCTTGGTCAAAACGTCCAAGCCGAGCGAGCTGAGCGAGCCGGCTCGCTCGTTGACAAGTATGGGGAATAGTCTTCAGGCTTGCAGTTTGCACTGTCGTAGCGCCATCAAAGAGAGCTTGTGTGGTTATAAACACTCGGTTTACTGCAAATTGCCGGAATGCTGAGTGTGTACTGTTTTCCTCAGAAACTTGTGTATAGTCTAGGATCGCATAGTATCCACGGCGTCTAAGCATTGACATCGCATCAATATTTATACCATCTCCATCGGTTCGTATGAACGCAACCTGCAGTTATTGGTTGGTGTAGAACATTGATACTTGTTTGTTGAAGTCATGCCAGCTGTCCATGGGGCCCTTGAATACATCGCACAGAGCACTTGTCGTGGTCCTTTCATTGGCGTTTCCACCGATAAGGTTTGGTAAACTCTCTTCGATGACCTCTTTGGGGTTTTGTTCTATGACTTGTCCTGGAATAGGGCTCATTGCGCTTGCTACACAGGGGACGATATCGTGGTTGAAGAAGCGCGTGATTCAGGAGTATGTGGTGCAGGAGTGTGTGGTGTAGGAGTGTGTGGTGTAGGAGTGTGTGGTGTAGGAGTGTGTGGTTGAGTAGAGGTCTGTGTTCACGAAAAAGCCTTTTTATCTGTAGAGGGAATAGAATTCCGCGCTAGTCAAGTAAAGGTCGGTGGTCAGTGCATTTTTTCCAAGTGAAAGAAGCCCCCGCGCACTCTACGCGTTGTCTCAGAAACATCTTCATATGCAATTCACCTGCATAATTTTCTTGAGCCTCTTAAACATCTACTTATTATTATTATTATTATTATTATATTTCCATTAGAGTCCTGTATCAGTCGGTGACTATGTAGGACTTTGGCTAAGCCGTTCTATGTATGATGGTCGTTGTGGAGTTTCTATAGGTCTTGTACAATTTGGGTGGTGTTTTGCGTACTCCAATTTCAGAGCTAGTCTTCCATTGGCGCGGGTGCTAAAGAGCAGTTTGGTGAGTAGAAAGAGATGTAGCAGCGGGCTCTTTTGGATAAGGGAATATTGTTTTTGTAGTTTTATACAGTGTCTGTCTGTTCGGTGGTTTGCCTAAGGTGCCATTTTCTCGTGCCAATCCTAGTACTTGCAATAAAGGCTAGAGTAGCTTTAATGCCTGTCTTTGTTTGGAGGAGAAGTGGGAGGGTGATAGGTCTGTGTGGTATTGCTTCTTTGAGTGTATTTCGATGTGTTTTGTACTGTTTGCACTCTAGAAGTAGATGCTGTGGTGTTTGTGGTTTGTAGCATATACATAGATTGCAGTCTCTCTTGTTGAATCTCTTAAGGTAGGAGTTGAAGTATCTATGTCCTAGCTTGAGTGAGTAGAACGCGCTCGAGATTTCTCTTGGTGTTCCCTTCGGGACTTTGATTGTTGTATGTGTGTTGAGCTTGAAGATCCTTAAGTAGGAGCTTCTGTTTTTAGTGGGCCTGTCGGTATACCTCTTGTACTCCATTAGTTGTTCTGTTTTTTGTATTTTGTTGATTTCTGTGCCTAAGTAGGCTAGGCTCGCTGTGGTCGATGTTGTTAGTCTCTCTTTAGCTGCTTCCTTTGCTAGCGTGTCGGCTTTTTCGTTGCCCTTGACGTCGTTATGTCCTAGGGCCCACTGCAGGTGGATCGATGCTTTCTTTGTCGTTATTCTCTTTGCAGCTCTGATGCATCTTAGTAGCCACTGTTGTCCCGGGTTGTCCGATAGGTTGTTAAGCCTATGGATTGCTGCTTGGTTGTCTGCGTATACGTAGATCTCTTGGCCTTCTTGTGCCACTATAGCCGCGTGTTCGAATGCCTGTGCT